GCCCCCCCTCTCCCCCCCCACGAACAGCCCATCCCCACCCCACCCCCCCCGGATGGAGCTGCGGTCCCGGATCCGCATCTGCAAAGCAGGAAGTGGGAAAAGGGGCGTGGTCTCACGCGTAGCCCCGCCCACATTTAACACCGTAGCCCCGCCCCCTCCCATAGAACGAGGGGGAAATGGGCGTGGCTTCCACCCGTCCACGAGGTGGCCACGCCTTCCGACTGGAAGCTCATTGGTCAGTGGGCGTGGCCGTACGCAGCCATGCAAATGAAGGGGCGTGTCACGAGTTGACCACGCCCACACCGTCATATAAACGCATTCGGGTGTTGGGCGGGGCTTGCGTTAACCACGCCCCCACTTCCATATTAGGACACATACAGGAAGTGAACGTGCTCCTAGCTGGCCACGCCCACTTCCTCGTACGAAACGGACCAAGTGGGCGTGGCTTTGCGCTGACCACGCCCCCCCGCGTTCCCCATGTAAGGACATATGCGCGAAGGGGGCGTGGCCCGAGCTAACCGCGCTCATTTCCTGCTACAACAGCCTCGTCCGTTTCCTCGTTTAAAGCGTCCGCTGTGGGCGTGGCCCCGTGGTGACCACGCCCCTCCTCCGTCCAAAGAAACATCCATGGAGCAGTTGCATCCCGAATTGGCCGTTTCCTCGCTAAAGATGGAGCGAGTGGGCGTGATCTGGTGCTGGCCACGCCCCGTTTCCATATAAGGACAAATACAGCTCGCTGCTCACGCCCCATTCACCCAAAAGCCGCGGAATCAGGAAAACTGGGCGTGGCCTCGCGCTGACCACGCCCCCTTCCCTATAAGGACACAAAGCATCGGTGGGCGTGTCCCGCATTAACCACGCCCCCTCCGTATAAGGGCACAAGTCCCGCGGTGGGCGTGGCCTCTCGTTGGCCACGCCCCTTTTCCCCATAGCCGTCCAATCGAGTGGGCGTGTCAGCCTCACCCCCCTCCTTTTAGCCACGCCCCCTCTCGGCCACGCCCCCTCCGCTCCCCCTATGAAAGGCGCCGCGCGGCCCTCGACCCCTCCGCGCCGCCGCCGCCCGCCCGCACCGCGCACGCGCCGCCCGGCCCGGCTGAGGCCCCGCCCCCTTCCCACCGCGAGGCCCCGCCCCCCCTTCCGCCGCCGCCCCTCCGTCCGCCGCCGCCGCCGCCATGAGCGGGTGGGCGCCGTACGTGGACAGCCTGATGGCGGACGGGACCTGCCAAGACGCCGCCATCGTGGGTTACAAAGATACCCCAGCCGTTTGGGCCGCCACGCCCGGGAAGACGTTCGCTAACATCACGGTGAGGGGAAACGGAGGTGGTGA